TTCTCTCTCTCTCTCTCTCTCTCTCTCTCTCTCTCTCTCTTCTCTCTCTCTCTCTCTCTCTCTCTCTCTCTCTCTCTCTCTCTCTCTATTTTATTCAAACTTTGTCCGTTAACGCATTCTAACTTTTTGACTTCCATTTTTCCTTTTCCTCCCAAACTATCTCGTCGTCCGTTTCTCTTACTTTACTCAATATTTCTTTACTAACGTATTCTACTTTGCCCATTCGAGCTTTTTCAATCAAGGTTTCCTCGGCGTTCCTCCATTCTCCATTAACCTATTCTCTTTGTGAACTTCCATCTTTATTTTAAGCCGTATTCCTTTTACTTCTAGTTTCTTTTATTCTCTTTTTATTGTTCTCTTATCTGCTAGAGATATTTAACATTCCTTTCATTTTACCTCCATCTAACATTCCGTTGTCATTTCTTTCGATTTTCTTTTCTTATCACGCTTTCATAGTTAAAAATTTTTTAATTTATTGTAGTAACTTTAGCTATGTAGAGCATTTTATCTTTAAATTCTTCTATTATGATGCAATTTCTTTGGAATTATTTTTTATATAAAAATGTACATTATTTATATAACATTAAATATAATAGAATAAATTGTATCGATTTTTTCCTCTTCTTTTTTCGTGTATTATTCATAAAAATATTAACGATATTGAACAAAGTAAGATATATATATTTCTGATTCTTCGTATGAAAAGTACAATCAAATAGTATTTTGATTAAGTAACATTCAATAAAATCATTCAATAATTCAATTTTTTTACTAATAAATTTAATTATAAATTTCTAAACATCTCTTAATTGCAATCGGTTTGTATCTGCAATTTTCATAACTCATTGTCAGCAATAAATAAGCCGCTTTTTACTGTTACCATACAGAAGTTTTTGAAAAGTCGGATCTCCATACGATACGTAATAGCTTTCAGCAGAGTACTTTCGCGAAAAGATACGCAAGCGGCGCTATGGAAATATTTTGTGTACAAAGTATACTCTCAAAAATATTTTAATAATATCCGATAATATTATCGTAACATTCGATAATCAGAAAGAAGCCACATCAATCGGCAACCAATTATACTTTCTTTTTATCATTTCTCGGTACAATATTTTCTTTCGCATCGATGCTCATTTTATGTTCGCCACGCGTTATTTAAAGTTTAATGCCGCGAGAGGGATGTAATGCGCGCGGATGCTATAATCTCCATAAGATGTATTTCACAAATATTTTCTACGAGCGGGAGGCATGCCAGTACCTAGTAATGTAAACACGGCAATATATGATACTATCATGCTTGCATCGTCGCGTTTCCCAATAAAGTTCGCAATTTTCAATGGAATCGACCGAGCCAATCGTTACTCGCACCGCGAAATCGGACCGAGCGTCCCCCGCCCGTCGTGGCGCACATAGCGAAGAGGATCAAACGTTAATAAAAACAAACGCGACGCCGGGTGCATCGGCAAATCCCTCGCAAAGCTCTGTCGCATTGTCCGCGTCCGCTCGGCACTCCTGGAAAAATGGTTAATCCGTCCTTTATGATGTGGCTACCTTCGCGTAGCGCGCGCGCGCGCGCGCGCCCACGCGGATTCCGTCTCCGCTCGGGCGGAAAAAGAAGTGCGCCGGCTGTGGAAATGAAATAAGCGCGGGTATATGCATACGCGCGAACCGGCCTGCATACATTCCCGTGGTATCTCGTCACCATCCCTCGCTCGTCTCCCGCCCTCTGCATCCCTTTCATTTCATCTCCCACCCGTTCGCGCGTTCTCGCAACGAAAGGCGAGCGTGGCGTGGTTTCTCGGCATGGCTCTCTCCGTAGCTTCCTCCCTCTCTCTCTCTTGCCCGCCGAGTAGCGTCGCAATATCTCGGATATCGCGCGAACGTTCCCGCCGGGATAGCGGCATAATTTTCGCGTCGAAGGACCAACCACGCCCTCGGGAAGCGTGTAATCCCCGTGCGGGTACGAACGTCATTCCCCGTGTTACAAAAGACGATGGATTTTCAGCGGACACGCGAATTGCGTTTTTACGCGCGGCATTTTTTTACAGTGTTCGAGAGCACGAAATTGCCCAAAAAAAAAGAAAAAAGAAAAAAAATCGTCCAGGTAAAACAGAGTAAATCGGATTGTGCCTTTTAATGAAATTCTGCCATTTCATTCAGTTTTCTAATGAAAAATCTGAATTAATAGGCAAATAGAAAATGTAGACTTCGTTAATATATCTAATTATATCATATTCGTAATTGATAAAAGTATCAATTAGTTGTCAAATGTCAATTAAAAATCTCAAATATTGCGATGAAACGTACATCATATAATTTTATATGAATAAGGAATACTTAAATAAATATTTTATCATAAACCACTAAATATTGTAACAATGTAAACGATATTTACAAACTGTGGATATGTGATCAACATACTCCTTGTGCAATTTTGTTACATATTTGTTGTTTACTTTATAAAATCCACAATTTCTATATTTATTTATAATTATTTTCCTCTTGCAAAATGAAAATGCAACCATTGAAATATGCTTGGAAAGTACAACAAATTAGTTTATTCGAAAGTGCATGAAAATAAAAATATTTTTATTACGAAAAACATACTGATCAGATTATGAAGTTATAATTTCGAAATAATAAAAAATTTGTTCTTATTCTCAGTAAATTCATAATTTACTGCACGCTAAAAAAAGGATTTTATTAAAAGAATAAATAATAAATAATAAATAATACTTTTTGAAATCGATTTGTGTTTCTTCTTGTAAATTTATTTTCAATTAACTTTTCATTTCAAAATGCATTTAATAACATACACTCCCCTACAATTATCAAAATCGTTACAAATAAATGTGTACACAACTACCAATATATTCTGAAATGTCATTTTATTCAGAGAAAAAAGAAAAAAGCAGAGATTATTATTGAATTACTTTTGCATACCCCCGATAAGGATAGAACTCCGGTATAGAACTCGATGGATTTAAACGTGAATGGCAAGCTATCAAATCAGCGAAATTCTCGAGACTAAATGTATTAACGTAATATGAATTTCACCTTCGTGCACCTTCGTGCGAGCATAGAACCCGTATGAAGGCGCGCAGGCATACGCGAGTAACATTTGATACAGCGAAACATGCAAATTTACCTCGATTGCGAGGGCTCGAACTCCATCACGGGAGGGTGCGTCCGGCGTGTACACATGCTCCTCCGATATCCAGAAAACCTTTGTGTAGCTCGGCCGGGCACAAAACTCGACGACGATGTCCAGAGGCTCGCCCTCGTTCGCCGTCACTGACTGACTCGGCGGATGAACCATGGGTCGCCCTGCAACGAAAATAAACCGGAAAAACGGTTAACCTCTGTCGAACCATAGCATGGCCACCCTTCCAACTGTGGCCATAAATCTACCCTCCGTCGGCGCGGTAGGCGCTTTTTGCGTTTGCTAAGAGCTTTGTACCTTATTAACGGCGTAAATTTCCATCCAAATGGCCCGTTAACGCGACGCGCTCTACGATTTTATTTCGATCGGGAGTGTGCAGCCGATTATTAGGATTGTCAGACGGGCGCGCGAATGTCTTTTATAGTGCTTTTTCGACACATGCATCATTGTCATCCACTGTTCCGACGTGTTAGAATTTGGGAATAGCTCGTGGTTGATGCTAACATATTGTAAATGAAAGATATAGTAGATATAATAGAGATGGTAATAGATAGGATATAGTAGAAAATCATAATTCACAATAACCGATTCCACTAACGTCCTCTATGGATCTCTGTGATTTATTTTTCCCATAAATTATTATTAATGGATATTTTGATCGATGACACGAAAACAAAAATTTAAAGCTGCGTAAAAGTAATAAAATATTTGCACGCAAAGACAAAATTTTTTATGAATTTAAGCAGCAATTTTTACGTAAATTATTTTGATTAAGTGATATAAAGCATAAATGTAGGCTAATGGACTAAAGTGGTCAGCTATTAACGAAAAATAAACGATGCCGACAGATTTATACACATAATGTGTATTTTCCACAGAAGATCATCAGATATCAGATCTTCAAAAAAAGAGAAGAAAAAAACGCAATAATAATTATATGCGAATATATATTTAGCACATGAACTAAATAGATCGATGATTATTAAATAATTCATTAGAACAGGATAATTTCTGGATATTTATTCATTATCCCGAAATTTGTAGAAATTGTATCAATTTATCGTTGCTCTTCCATAGCGATAAATACTTACAAACTATTTATTCAAGTTGTATTTATTAGATATAGTTAAATATTATCAGATTGTCTAAAACTAGGTCTGCTTTTCTTCTTCCTATGAACGTTAGCGAGGTGATAGATCTTAATGTAACTCGATAAATTTTTGAAAAATTCTGGAAACGAAATGTATGACCGGGATCCAATGACTCTTACTGAATCTGTTCTCGGTCGTAAATTCAACCTTCGTGAGATTTTCGGTGCAAGAGATGATGTGAAGAGAAAGGAATAGAAATTACTGATTAACACTACTCTATCACCTTCGATGACCATTCTCAATTAAATTAGAACTGTTAATTAAAAGTTATAAGTAATATAAATGTCTTGTCATAATTTTCTTCTAACTCGAAATAAAATAAAATAAAATAAAACATTTCGAAGGATTATATGAATGGATAATATGAAATAAATACAGTAAAATAATACACCTACAATATTACGCACTATCAAAATCGGTGCAGGAATCCCAATTTCGTAACAACCAAATATATTGTGTTTCGAGTTTTTTTCGGTACGCACTAGCGATTGAACTAGCATAAAAACAGTGTAATGACTTTTCTGCATTGACACGTATCGACTAGCATGCTTTTTTATTTATTTTCAGGAAAATTTGAAATGAATTGTAATAAGTTAATTGTGCCTCCGTAGAGTTATTATTACCTTGTTGAATAGTTTTAAATTTTAATTCCTTTACAATAAATTTAAATCAACCTAATAAATTTTTATATAACTTTATAACGAGCAGTTAGGAATTTTAATGAAATTGTGCAGAATCGGTATAACTTTTTAAACCACGCTTCTGCACGTTTCTGCTCCTTTTTCTTAATAATGGCATTATTTTTCAAGAATCAAGGACGATTTAATGATGAATTGGAACAACGGTTTGATGGAATGCGGTTTACAATACCACTGATTTATGCAGACGTCTCAAGACGTCTTCGGGATCCAACGAGACATGCAACGCGATCGAAACGCAGAAACGTGGCGCATCGCGCGACAATGCAAGCAGTCCTCAGCCACGTTACCGCGACGTGTACAGCCCTCGCGCGCGCGCAAATTGCAATCATGGGTTTTCGATTTCCCAGCCTCAAGGCGATCGCGATTCCGCAAATTGTCTCGCGCGTACTACCGTTCGAATTTCCTCTTGTCGTCAACTACAGAGGTTTGTCGATAGAATTTCGGCTTGGTGAGCTAGCGTTTGCGGATCGGAAAATCGGACGAGGCCATGAAGTCGAAATGAGACGGAGATTTTCTTGATTTTCCTCGACGGAAAAAAAAAAATTCCCATCCGGATTGAACGAGGCACTTTTTATTGCGAAGTAAATTACGCAAGAATAAGGTTCAGAGTTTCAACCGGTATCGCAGAGACGTCCTTAAGTTTTTCTTTATGGCTGGATTAAATGTGCTTCGAGTAATTGAAATAGCAAGTTAAAAGAATAGCAATTTGCATAATACAGTTAATTCCTTTTTTATGCCACTTTTCTTAAGAATATTATTCTCTTTGATAATCAGATACGAGAGTTTATTAAAATAAGTTAAAATTACTCGTATATACTTATGAAATATTACAAAAATCATGTATTTCTTTAATACACTGTAATATGTAAAAAAAACTTACTCTTTCTTTATTTATTCGTAGATTTGATTATCTTGTTATTTTGTTCAAGTACATAAAACAGTAGTTAATGAACAGTTACAACAAATTGCACAGTAACCATCAGCTCTTCAATCTACGCACTTCAGTTAATTGAGAAGCGCGGATATCACTGTTTAACAACCCTCCTTGTAACGACCTCGGTCTCGATTCATTTTCCACTCCACGGGAAATCTCCTAGGCGATTTCCAACTGCCTCTTTTTTTCTTCCCTAAGCGGCCTCTCATCCGTACAGATTTCCTGCTTCGTAAAGCAAACCTTCTGACCTCGACCGAGCCATCTGCAGAGTGAATAGAAGCGAAACAGTACAGCCAGCAACCGCGGCATCGTTCATGAATATTCCTACGGCTGAAATTGCTCGAATATCTTGGAGATGGTCCAGATGTACCTGCGGCGAGGGGCAAGTCTTTTTGCCACTCTTTCGTCAGCCCCGCTTCGCTGTGGTGGACGGCGGGGCGTTGTCGAGCTCATGCATGCGGTGATGAGCTATCTTTTATCAGGGCTCAGCTTTTTTGAATATTCTCACGCACCTACGATGAGATTCCGACCTGTGAATTATGCAGGTGCGTGATCTACGTGCCACACGTGATCTACGTGCCAGGATTACGCCTGCTGCGAACAAAGCTGGGAACTTCATAAAAAGATCTCCACGCGGAGTCCTCGTAGAACATTTATTATGATTTAAATTTAATTGTGAACTAATTATTTACTAGTTACAAATATTTGTTGTTTGCAACTTTGATTACATTGCCGAAGTTGAAGTTGGTTTAATTCTCGTTAATAACTTGTGAGATTATAATCAAACTATATGTACATGAAAACACTGACGTCATTTTAATTGCTAATCTCGGGACATGTTTTGACATTTTTAGACATTCTATTTCATTCCTCTCTTTCTTTTTCTCTCTTTCTCTTTTTCCACAATTCTCTTTTACTATCACTTTATATGGTTTCGTCTTTTATATAAATTTTAATTTTAATTTATAACTTGTTTTATATCGAAAATTATAATAATTACGATATTAAATTATTTTAACTTATCTGTTCTTTTAACTGCGTAATATTAAGATTGGATTTATAGATAAGAAGCGAAATTTCTAAGTGAAATTACGAAGAAATGTCGTAAACGTTGTCTGAATAGCCTGATATCATTTAGTTTCATGGTGCGTACAGACAATAATGATTACGAGAGTGTTAACGATCGCTAGTCAACGACGGGCGCTGACGAGGAAAGCACGACGAGAATTCGCAAGTTGTATTCAACTGCGTCGGTACGTCTTTCCCGAAAATGGGTCTTCTCCAAGAAAATTCCTTTTCCCGGATGGCACTCGGAACGCACCGCAACGTTTCCGGAAGACGTTTCTCTTAGCAAGTTAAATGAATCGCGAACGATTGCCTACAAGCGTGATTCATTTCATTGTGCGCCGTTAGAAAGAGCTTCGATGGGAACGATTGTCAAAGTAACGAATTTCCTCATGACGATTCCACGTCGTATCGTTCGCTGGAAAATGGAGGGGCTGCACTTTGTCCGCCGCGGAGTTTAGATCGATAGCGACACAGATTTGAATCTTCTCGCCGAATATTGTCCGTCGTTTAAGGAAATTATGGATCGATAGCCCGTATTTCTCGCTATCGGCGATTTTCGTGATGCTCTCTACGCGTAACGTAGTAGGAAACTTAAAAACGAGAGAGAGTTTTATAGATAGCTATAAAGATTAGATTGCCAATAAAATTGTTTTTTTATCGAACTGACAATTAGCAATATTATTTCATAAAATAATTGAGAGTGTCACAAAAAGTTTTGTAATCGTATATTTTTAAGTATTTAAGTATCGTATATTTTTAAGTATTTTTAAGAATTGCAGATTTTTAAATAATTTTCTTTTCAATTATCTTAATTTATATCCTTAAAATACTCGGTTTCTTGTAGAATTTAATATTTTGAAATTTAAAGATTGTTGCGCTGTAATTTCTCTTTCTTCGTAACAATTCATTATTAAATCTACTAAGCGAGGCAACGTCTAAGAAGAAATTTTCTACATAGCATGCTATTTCACAAAAATGTAAACTAATATCTTTCTTTTAAAAAAAGAAAACGAGCGTTATTATGTTTCGATATTGCGATAAATTTTTATACGTCGGCATTTTACTTTGTGTCTTATTGTTAAATGTCTTAGTATAAAATTAATCAATCTTCAATTTGCGTTGATGTTCCATTTAGACGAATAGGTAATTCGTGCACGAAAACAATCAGGTAGAGAAATTGTTTACCGAAGCATTAAACGAATTCCACTTGTGAAAGAGTTGTTTAATTCAAAAGAAATCTGTTCGCGGAATTGTTTTTGTGTACGAATACGACGAAATAAACTGTACTCTCTCGTTCGTGCATGAACATA